TTGCCTTGAGCATCAGACGTGCGTGATTTAAATGTTAACCAAAAAAAAAACAAACAAACAAACAAAACAGCACAACAATTCTACCGAAATTACATTTAAACCAGCATAGCGGATGCAAATTTTGTTCGTGTAGTTCCACCTTGTCAATTTACTCCTTTTTACCAAAATTACAACAACAACAGGCTACAGAATGCTTAAAATTAACTCTACCCATCTTTGCTACTAAAAGTTGTTGCATTTTAAGTTCTCCGTGCTGCCAAGTCCTTTGGGTAAAACAGGTGGCGTTTTGGAGGGAAGCATTGCCAACAGTGTTCACAATTTTTAATTTCATTTTATTTGCACATAAGCTCATTGCCTTTTAAGTTATTGTTCTCTGTTTTGTTCAAGATCATAAAGTTTTCCAAGCGGGTAATAAAGGAATGCATTACTTTTAGAGACGTAAACAGTTATGACTGCATTTCCGTGCTGCTATCACGGTAACTGCTCTGCATCGCCTTTTTGAAATAAAAAATTTAACGTTTGTCATCTTTATCCGCATTCTTTCTATTTTTGCTAGCTTCAATCTGTGGCGGTGATGTCTTCGTTGTACCATGCCTTCCTTCTCTGTCAAGTAAGTTGTTCCTTCGGCGCTGGAGCTCATCTTTGCATCCGCATCAATGCATGCTGTATTGTTCTGCGATTGACTCTTTGATACGGGCAATGTCGTAGTTGCATTACAATATACGCATCCACTTTTTATTGTGCTTTGGGAGCGGACATCAGTTTTTTGCCCATAAGGTCTGCAGTGGAATGAGGAACATGAGTTTTGTTGTCATAAAATTCCTGTGCTATGATGATAACCCGGAAGGACTTACCATTCAACAAGTAGGCTTTCTAAAAGTCTGAAAGTAGAAGGCAACTATTTTCATCCCACACTTCCAAATGCTACAAGTTTTGGCTAGTAATATTACAATTTCAAAGCGGCAGTGGATCGTAGGTCGAATGCTTGAACGCTGTTAAAACATGGCGTCTAAATTTTTTGCTCATGGATTCAGAGATTTCATGGACCGATTGTGACCGACAAGACTGTCGATTTTATACAAAGGCTAAAAATCTACAACTGCGTTTAATCATTACCCGAAAATGTTAAAAAAGGGAACTAAATTTACTTTCCTGTCTAGGTTTGGACGGTCTATTGCGAGTCTGCTGGAAGTCTGCATCCTGTGAATTCGAATGCCCATCGTGCAGCCAACGCAACTGCGCTGGAATTTTGGTTGAAGATTGCACCAACGATTACACACTTTCTCTCTGTCTCGGAAGATGTGAGTAGTTAGATTCCACTCTGTCTGTCTGTCTGTCTGTCTGTCTCTCGTTTCATGGTCAAGTGTCACCCTCTGTAAATTAGTACTTTGAAGTGTACCTCGAAAATGTCGCCTTATTTTCACTTCTTGTTCCTATGGCTATTGTGAGTTTCTTTCAATCTCTAGGCTGCCGCAATCAATGGACATCTTCTAACGGTGCTGGAGGAACTGAAGGAGTGTCGCTCCATTATAGTTGATAAGGTGGGTCCTCTATTTTGAATGGGAGAAGTGTTACAACTGAAAACAGTGTTGAGATAAAGACAAAGTTCGTCGAACGCTTAGCATCGGAGCATGTCCGGAGTGTGGTAATGGCCAGAAACGAGATTCAGCCAATTCTATGGGCATTATTTTTTAGCACGAGGGCCCTCATGCCTTTAGCACACCTTCCTTCATCACTCCAAATGTAAACGCACAATTTTCTTTTTAAGAACAATTTTCGATTGATTGTTACTGAAAATTCCAAGACCTTAAATTGACCTCATCCGCCAATCTTTTCCCAGCATCGCTGCGCGAAGAGTATGATGCAAAAAAGTTGCATTTTGGGTCATTTAAGTAAATGATGAAGGAATTGACCTGTGACGGTCCAGAAAATATCATACCTGTGTTAGATGCAGAACTGGAAGAACTTCAGGATACGTTAAGCGACCAAATCCATGTGGAAGTGAGCTTTCAGTGCATAAGTCTACCACGTAGTGTAAAGCTACTTCTAAGAACCGCTTGGTGGTATATTTTAAGCATTTAAAAAGCTTCACTTCTACTAGAAGGGATAGTTATCAAGTGGGTCTCCGTGACCGAGGCCGGACTCATAGTTTTGTAGAATTTGCCTTTCGTCAACGCGTGTTGAGGAGTTGGAGCAACCGATAAGTTTGTTGGGAAGACAACACCTTCAACTCCATACGTCAATGCAAAATGCTAATTAGCAGTGCGTGATGCCAAATTAACGGTAGTTGGGAGGAAGCAAGAGGAAAGCCGTAGCCATTTAGATAATACCTATAAAGCAGGTTTGAAATGGTTTTTTGAAGGTTTACCTCAAACCCACCTATCATATCTGGGTGTCTTACAAATTAGTTAACTCATCGGTCAAATTTGATTATACTTGTGGTTAGACTACCCTTTTTATCCAAAATAAATTCATTTTCAATGGGTCTCACGTGTTTTCATGTCAGATATTTGCAAATTGCGTCTTAAAAGTTCATATACGTATATATGCTTGTTTTTACGCCCACAGCTCATCACAATTTGGGTTCCAATCCTGAATGGCAAACAAAAGCAGGCAAGTTTTGACAACTTAAAAGTACGTTCACGATTATCCAATTTGTTGGGGTAAGCAAATGCAATTTCCGCCCCTTCCATCCTAGAATACCTGAGGTCAGGCAAACACTCTCCTGTTCAATTATGTCTACCACATCTCATAGACATCATATTTGTAAAGAAACGTTGTTAAAGTCGACAGGGGAGCGTCTGAAAAAATTGTGATTGTTAAAACCAAGTCGGTGCGTAGGCATTGGATTGCATTTCTTCCAGTACCGTTGTTCAAACATGGTTATGCGTAGGATAATTAAAGCGTACATGTGGTGGTGAACCAGCCTCTCCTCTGCTATGGGTTAGGGAGGATATTTCATAATTTACGGCCCTCCTTACGTTGAGGTCCTTTTATTATCACAACTTTGGGTTCATATCTTAATCCAAAAGCAAGAAAAGCTATGGCTTTGCTTAGAGTCTGCGGAGATTTGTGT